AAACGCAAAACCAAACAGGCCATGGAAACATTTTCAAACTGTGTCTGTCAAGAAATGGCAAAAATGATACAGAGCAAAGCACAGCTTCCACTGACACTGGCTTTGTGGTGTGTGGGGAGCGTCAGCGGTGGCGGGGGTGCACTTTGAGGAAGCCCTGGGGAGTCAGGGGCAAGGGTTTGACTTCAGGGAAGACTGGTCTCACGGAGGGCAGTTCTTCTCACTCTTTGCCATTCAGTCAATTGGACTACACCTGCTCCTCAAGATTGCTTAGGCTGTAAGCCTTTAATGAGAGCAAAAAGCCTCATCTTTCTCCAATGGAGCTGCTGGTGGTTTCCACTGGCTGACCTTGCAGTTGGCAGCACCAAGGCCTGGGGACAGGTCCTAGCCAGAGTCCTAAGTGGGGCTCCCAGTAAAAAAGATCATCACCCAAAGTATACAGATGACCCGAACTCAATATAGTTTTACCCTCCCCACGGTAATCTTCTAGGGCCCGTGTCAAAGCCTGGCCCCTCTTCGAGATTCCCAGCACACAGGCATTTTTTTTTTTTCTCCTCTAAAGACTGACAGATGGCATTCATGTTCTCTGCCATTCTCCTGGCACTTCGTGCATGGGTACAGGGCTGCCTCAACCTTTTCTTGGTTACACTTGTTTCCTCTCAAAGAGATCAGGGACCTTTCATTTCTCTTTGCCTCCCAGGCATCCAATACAGTAGTGCTCAGAACATATTTGTGGCTCAGTGCCTGCGTGACTCAGGCAGGCCCCAAGGGGAGGAGAGTTTTATGGGTTTTAATATGAACCATACCATGAAATCTGAGACTTTTACCTCACTGCTCACACTGTAAACCACCAGTTCCAGTCTTACTTGCTCAGAACTAGATGGAATTTTGTTCCTTTTTCACACCAAAATCCATAATCTGATTTTTAAACTTAAAAACATTTATATAGCACTGACTTCATATTCATCAGTAATCTAAACACTTAATGAATGTGTAACTCATTTCCTCCGCATAGCAACCCAGACTCTCAAACTTAGAAACGGAAGCACTGAGAGGTTAAGCAGCTTGCCTGCATTTCAGAGCTAGAACCGGGATTCAAACACAGGTCATCTGGCACCAAAAGAGAACATGCTATTTAGCATGCAATTTTGGTTAATAAAAATCTTCATGGGGGTGCAATGGTCATGTGTATTTTTCTTTCTTGTGTCCTTTCCTTCCTCAAAGTGAAATAATTTAAAGCACAGTATTTTGTACACCGCCCCCCACCCCACCCCCACCCACCTGAGAAAACGCCGTGGCTCATTTTTTGCTTCAGCAACCAAAATGGAAGAGGAAATGTGTGGTTTCGTTACTGGTACTTTTGGGGCGTGTGCTCTGCCTTCCTTCGGCCCATCTGGCTCCCAGGTCCCTTGTCCCCGCGGGCGTGGTTGCTTCAGATCTAGCAATTGTTAGCAATTTCTCCTTCTCCAGCTCGGGATCTGCCTTGCAGGCAGGCACTCTTCCTGAACACAGTACAGTTCTTAAAGGACCTGGGGGTAGGGGGTGGGGGGGTGAGGAGCTGATGCCAGGGGCTTCAGTGGAGAGCAAATGTTTTGAGAATGATGAGGACAACGAATGTACAAATGTGCTTTACACAGTTGATGTATGTATGGATTTTGATAAGAGTTGTATGAGCCCCTAATAAAATGGTTCAAAAAAGAAAGAAAGCAAGAAAGAAAGATCCCCAGGGGCTCAGTGGAAGGTAAATGTCTAGAAAAGAACGATGGAATATATGTACGAATATGTCGGATACAATTGAAGTATAGTTTGTAACGAGTTGTAAGAGCCCCCAATAAAATGATTTAAAAAAAAAAAAGAACCTCAGGGGTCTTCTTAAGCCTTTTTCTTTCTCAAAGCTTTCCAGGGCTCAAGCCTCATTAACGACATTTGCATCAGAATCACGGTGGGAAATCTACTCCATTTATAAGTCTCCAAGGTTGTGTATATGTAAATGTTGCTCTCCTCCCGGCAGGGCGGCTTCGGAACTTGCGAGACCTGACATTTACTAACTGTGGGACCCAGAGCGAATTACTTAACGTCTCCGAGTCTCGGTTTCCTCACCGCGAACAGGATTGCTACCCATAGTGTTGAGGTGGGGATCGAACCAGATAATACAGGTGCGGCAGCAGCACGCGGTCGCTCTCTTAGGTTCCCC